TAACTCATATAAGAAGGGGAGTCAAACGTTGTATATACGAAGCGGCCAATCGGGCATGATACTACTACTACTACTCTCAACGGAGTGGCAGATGATTCAGTGGGTCAAATGCAGCGTCGCCATCAACAAGTGCGATAAGCTGATTGATGAAAAGGAGCTTAGCAGCATCTGAACGGTTGATAAGGACGAAACATGAGCGATGGCGATTGTCGCCATATCCGTCTCGTCGATGATCAACAGAGCGGATCAATCAACCTTGACCACATTGAGCTGGTGGAGCAGCGGGCGGTGCTGGCGTTTGTTTACAAAGGTGATCCCGAAGCGCAGCCCCATGATTTGCTGCGAGACAGGACTAGGGTGCCAGCGTGCTTGAGGTGACGTTGTGGAGAAGTTTGGTAGCCTACCTTGCAAGTGCTTCAGATAGACGGCCTTGACATCCCGTTGCGTCAGGTCTTGTACGTGTGCAATGAGGGTACTGGCATCTCGCTTGGTCGCGTCTGGGAAACCGTCGATGAGTGTTTGAAAGCTGGCATCAGACCACGACTCGCGTGCAAGTCTTGTGAGACTGTCAAGTGCATACGGGTACTGCGGCTAATTGTGAGCGAGGTGCAGAAAGGGGACGACGCCAACAGACATCGCGTGACAGATGACGAAAGGTTGGCAGGCGATGATCACCGTATAGGAGGCAGGCGCAAGAAAAAGAGAGAGAGAGAGCGTGTGTAGATGTGTGTCTAGAACAGAGAGAGCGACTGCCGAAGTAACACGAAGTGGCCAGGAAGGGCGGCCCGCTGTGATGCTCGACTGATCTTGGACTGTGAAGGGGACGCTCTTGGTCCTGACTGTTCCGAATGCGGGGTTGCAAGACGGTCAAGAGTGACAAGGAACGAATGAACGACAGCAAAAGGATTTGAAGGACAACAAAGGGACACAGAAGCTTACCATGACATTTTTGACGAATGAGATAATTGCAATAGTGCCCTCTATAGATCAGACAAGAACTTCTAGTTAGCCAATCTTGCGCCTTGGCCATGGTTGCATGCGCAAACGAGACATGGTAGAAAGAGGGTGGTGGAGTATGGGTGCGTTGACCAGAGTCTGGGGAAGCATGCATCATCATCACACAACAAGACAGAGCCGTGCTTGAGGGTGGGTGCGACAGCATGGGCAGGCTATCGTCTGCTGTGCCTCGCCATGATGCTGGCCAGAACATGGAAACCCGAGACCCGAGAGGCTGTGTGCATCCTGCCAGAAGGAGGGGAGGGGCGAGGGGCGAGGGGCGAGGGTTGTTTAATTTTTTTTTCCTTTGGTCGCGCGGTGCTTGAAGGAGTGGGAAGAGCGGGCAGATGGGGTTGAAAGACTCACCAATATCGAGCAGCACCACCTCGGACTGGTTCCAACGGCCCAGCTCGAGAGAGGCGGCAGACATGGTAGTATCTTTGATGGGAGCCCCCTTCTGGGCCTGTCTGTGAAGCAAAAAAAAGGTTGTTGAATGGATGGTGGCAGGGCGGTGAGAGGCGGTGAGTCGGGGAATGGTCAACTCCCGGGCGTTGTTTCCGGGTAGGTGCCGGTATGGCTATCGTGAAAAGCTGTGTGAGTGTGCGGAGATCTGGTTGGTGCGATGGAGAGGGCAGGCAGGCAAAGGGAAGCGGTGAAGCTAGCGAGTGTCGTGGTAGGCAAGGTACTTCAGCCTTGGAACGATGGTGATGTTCAAGGACTTGTAACCGACCGTGGATTAATAGTGCGATGCGCAAAAACC